CCCCAAAACCCCAAAACCCCAAAACCCCAAAACCCCTTCAATTTATTAATAAGTTGACTCTAATAACAATTTAAGTTTCCTCAATATTCTCGTCCTGAAATCCAATTTGTGTCCACAACCAAGCTTGCATTCCAAATTTCGTGGATAAATAACAGATATTTTAATGTTTAGCAAAGAAAAATCATGCTTGAAATATCATTGCAATTTCTGAACTTTATGATGAAAATCTGCAAAAAAACACACAATGCTGAAATAATTAAATTTTTAGATACCAAAACTGGACACGAAAGCGGCACAGAACAAAGGAATGGCTTTTAAGCTTCTGAGCATGCTTTTAGAGCCACAAAGGTGGATTACAACATATTATTGAATACTAAATCAAAAGACCATAGCTTAATTATATAATGAAGGAATGCAAAAATGCCTTATTGAGCTTAGCCAAAATAGCAGATATTGCTGGAAGGTATGATGGTAAGACACTTATCTTATTCCCAAAGGCACCAGATCTTGGAAATCTCCTTAGTTTCGTCTTTATATATTTGTAAAAAAATTGGATTAACCTAGTTTATGTAAATGCCTGAGTACATACAGAATTCTGAAGACAAGAGCGCAAAGGTTGTCCCAAGAAGAGCGGAATACTTTATGAGCAGCTTATGATAATTCCATTGCTAGAAAGAGAGCCTAATGTAAATCACTCAACTTAATAGAACAAAAAGAAAGAGAGAAAGTTAAGGAACAAGAAAATATTGAAAAAGTAAGCAGTACAAGGTTCAAATTGAAGATGAGCTCTTCAGAAATATTATGAATCTTCTTGATGACCATCTTCTTTCAAATACCTCTGACTCTGAAGAAAAGGTTGCTTACTTAAAGATGAAAGCTACTTATCTGGAATATATTTCTGAATTTGCCAAGGCTTCTGACAAATATAATACTGTTCAAGAGTGAAAGAATTGTTATGAAGAAGCTCAGGAGATTGCAGAAAGAGACCTAGAGCCTATCCATCCAACCAGGCTTAGCCTCTTCCTAAATTTCTCGATGTTCAACTATGAAATTCTTAATGAACCACAAATAGCATGCGATATGACTAAAAATGTCTTAGACAGCACGATCAGTGAACTTGAACATAGAAGTAATGAATACTCTAAAGATAGTGCCCGCATTATACAACTATTTAGAGACAGCTTGACTCTCTGGAATTCAGATATGGAAGTTTAAGAGTATGTGAATAACTTATAGCCTCGAAGTTAAATTTCAATAATCCAAAAATTGTACGGGGTTTTGGGGTTTTGGGGTTTTGGGGTTTTGGGG